CACACACACACACACATATATATATATATCTCTTCTCTCTGGAGTAAGTGCTCAGGAGCTCCCCACACTGCTCTTTCCCCGGTCAGAAAAGGAAAACACAACCCTTCCCCATCCCCTGGAGTCCAAGGTACCAAAGGACCCACCCGGTGCCTGAGCACCCTGATACCCAGTGGGTGTGGGAAAGGACCTGGGGCAGCAGGGCCCCAGCCAGGGGAGCAGGTAGAGCCAGCGAAGCCTCGGTGGCTGCTCCCAGCACCCGGCCCTGCTGGGCTTTGTTTTGGGACTCTCCAGCACGATCCTCGCTTTGGGGAGCAGCCCGGAGGTGCAGCCCCGCGGGGAAGCGGCAAATCCTGCAGCTGGGGAGGATGCGAGTCCTTCGGCAGCTGCTAATTCCTGCAAATTCAGGGGCTTAGCGTGCGCCCCAAAGCGTGTGGAACCCTTTTGTCCCACATACCTTTACCAAGAGTCACGGGCAGAGAGGCCGGGTGGGAGCCAGGGCAGGGCTTAGGTACACAGCGACCAGCCCAGAACAAACTCCTGCGGCTCCACGCAGCTCCCAGGAGCCGAGCGAGGGCACGGCCGCTGCCAGCCTGGCACTCAGGGACTCACCCTAATCACCCCTTGCTTCGTGCGCAGCAATTTATTTGATTTTCTTAACTCTCATTCCAGTGCCTGTCGAAAGAAGCTCAGTGTAAGCTGAAATAAGCTGCAAAACGCAAGAGACCTTTAACAAAGTGGAAAGGCGTGTGAAGGAAAGACACCACGGTCCACATAAATAAATGTCATCTTTATTTAACCAAATATAATTTATCAGTTAAGTTGACATCTGTCAATTCCGTTACAGGAACTATAAATAATTAAGACAGTCTTTTTTCCTTTAATAAAAAGAGTAAACCAGTATTTTTCATTTGCAGTCAGCTGTATAGTAGGCATGCATTTGAGTGCAATCGGTGGGAAAAGTCTGACCATCAAGAGTCTCCAATTTTAAATTACTTTCTTTCCTCACCTATTTCCCTCCCCCACACACCTTAGACCTTCTAGAAATGTACGGACACCCCCAGCCCAGAAGTAGATTCTTCATTCGGGGAGTCTTTTCTTGGGGGACTAAAGAGTAATGTGACACCTAGAAGACCAGGAGAGTTTCTCATATATATATATATATATATACACACACACACACACTCTCACAAATATATATATATATATATAAAAGCTTAATTGTTAATGGAAGTCTCATCTATTCTTCAACATTAGGCAAAGAAATCAGGTGAGCAGCAGAGAATCCTCCAGAAGTTCCTGGGCTGAGACCTCAGTACAGCGGGGTGTGAACATTGGGGTGTGAATGTTGGGGTTTG